ATTGTCACACTGCTTTCACATTTATCTTTCTGAAATTACATTTTTATCAAACTATCTCATTGCTGAAATCTTTTTTCATGCCTCTCTATTTCTTAGGAATAATTCCAGTTATCATCCTATTTCATATAAGGTCCACTATGATCTGTCTGCTAGCATCATCTTCTCTAACATCCAGTGCCTTTCATTATCCAATTAAACTGAATAACTCACATTTTATGAAAGTGTCATGTTATCATGCACTTACTCTCTTGTTCCCTGTCCACCCAAAATGAGCCAAAAATATACCAAATGCCTCAAATGATATAGATTTATATTATCTTTTATTCCAGATTTTATAAAAATAAATCAATTTAAATTATCTACCTGGAAAAAAGGGATACCTTAGCTATAGTGATAAGAACAAAACTGAAGGTTTTTTAGCTTGTCTTTAAAAATTAAAATTGTCACTGAAATCTACCAAATAAAAAAATAAAAAAATTTGAAAAATCGCTCAGTAAAATTAAATACCTTACTTTTATGCCTCACCTTAACTCCATGCTTTTTATCTTATAATTACTTTTTTCTATTTTTCTCATCAATTCAACAAAATATGAAAGGGGACCAGGAGACAGAGGAAGGAGGAAAGGAGGAGAGGGGAGGGGAATGAAAAAAGGATTAAGATATGTTATGTATATATGCCAACTCCCCACAATGAATGCAATCATTATGTACTGCTACAAACATGTGGTCATAAAACATACATACATAATACATACATATGTATTTACATAAATGAGAAAAAGAAAAAAACTTAGAAACCACATTTTGGAAATGAAGACACCATACACCTATCTGCACTAATATTTTTATCATTTAATAATTGAATACTTAGAAACCCAGAAAATCAACTAGGAAAACAAATGGTAGGAAATACGTACAAACTTCTCTTAACATAGACATATATGCAAGATACATATTTACATAAAAATATATTACATAAAATTAGAAATTATCATCTTAATAAAGTGGTAAATATTCAATTATAATAACAATCAAAAGTATGAAACCCTTAAGAATACTCTGAAAAAATCATTTCTTCCAAACAAGTTAATTCATTCAAATAATATACATTATTTTCTCTGCTACTTGGGGTTCTAAGCTCTGAAGATTAAATATCTTGACAATGAAAATTCAAATGATTGAGGGAAATAATACAATCTGAAATTCATCACAATAAAATTAGCAAATAGGACTAGATGAATACTTATTTTTGTGAGGTTCATACTTTAAATTTTAATCTGTCCAATATTAAATATTCTGCAAAGCTAGAATAAAGTCATCTATTTAGCACTGTTATAAATATGTATGCCATAGGAAAAGCCTAGAAATATATACTATCACTTTTTAAATAATATATAATAAAAAAAAGCATCACAAATCATTGCTTGCAGGAGAAATTCATTGGCAGATAATGTTGAAACAATCATTTGTCCATATTTGTGTTGTAGCCTTGTGTAATTTCCCACTTCCTTTTTCAAACAATTTAGAGGTCATAACAAGTCATCTTCTTTGTAAATTCATCTTTTTAGTCCTCATGCTCCACAAAACTCCAAATACCTTCAACATGGCTTCCAACCTTGTCATCTCCATTCCAGCTGGCTCATGTAAGAAACAGCATCGAAATTTTTGGTGGGTTCAGGCTAGAAGTGGCAAATATCGCTTCTGCCCATATTCCATTGCCTAAATTCCTACTACATGGCTGCATGGACTCTAGCCTGCAGGTCTATCCAAATAGAAGGTAAAGACTTGTATTTGGGTAAGCAGCTACTATTACCTGTAGAAGAGCTTTGGGTAGCCATAACTAATAGTATGTAGGAGGAAAAAGAGTGTGTGTGTTTGACAGAGCATGCTCTGAGGTCAGGATCTAATGTTAGCATCCAAAGGACGTCATTTCCTTGTCAGTTTTGTGTGTGTATATGAGTCATTTTATATCTACTTGATGGGATTGGTGATAAGATTAAAGGAGACAAATTAGAAGCATCCCATCCATACCTAGCACAGGTAACTGTTAAACAGCTGTAATTGTTAGTTGTCTTCATTTAATACCTTAGTATTCCTGTTGATTGGTTCCAAGAGGAATCATGAGTACTGGAAATGAAGAGTATCATGCAAATTGTTTTGGCTGGAAAGTGTAGTGAGTTGTGATGCAATCAACGCCAATAAGTTCTAGCTTTTGTACCTTGAGTACCAAACAGTGAGTATAGGCTCAAAAATGTTTGCATCAAAATGCATGAAATGCTAAATTCGAAGAATTTCCAAACAGTCCAGAATCAAGATATGACTGCATTAGGGCTGGGGATTTATCTCAGTGGTTTCGCTGCCTGCCTCGCAAGCGCATGGTCCTGAGTTTGATCCCTGGTACAAAGAAAGAAAGAAAGAAAGAAAGAAAGAAAGAAAGAAAGAAAGAAAGAAAGAAAGAAAGAAAGAAAG